ATATGGAAACAGAGTGATTAAATAGGAAAACTACAAGCAGGTTCCAGGTATGGCAGCTAGTGTAGAATTTTTGGGTGGACTACTTAAATTAGACAATAACTAAAGTTGTATGAGTGGCTAGTTGTATACTTTTTCTATGGTTGCCCTCTGTGGTTGTAATGCAACTATTTGCTAAATGTACTATCAATAAAATCCTGAGTCACAAGTACTCATCTTAATATTTAAAAAAAAAATAAAAAATAAACAAGACCTATAGTTGATTTGCAAATATGACATCTAGTATAAAACCTATATAGTAATATATTAGGTAAACTACTTAAATTAGGCATCAAAAGTGCATATGTAACTAGTTGTAACTTCCAATATAAGAAAGCTTCTAGAGGCACTCATGTCTAACAAAAATTTAAATAAAAATCACTCAAAGGCAGAGGCTTTAATACAAAAAAAAACTAAATGAATAAAAAAAATAAACTACCAAAACTACCCAAATATAAAAAAAATAACCAAATAAAAATATTTAGAACCTTCAAAAACCTTATACCAATCTAAACTTGAACCTTTATATTTGACTCTTAGTCTGTAACTGTACTTTAATCCTAAATTGAACAAAAAAATATAAATACTATATATAGTAATAATTGTAATATACAGTTTATAATCAGTTTAAAAATAATTTTTACTAACAGGCTTTTGAAGAATTTTTTTTCTATATATACGTAAATGATAACAATTTATTTGAATAAGTACGTTATTCTATAAAAAATCTTGCCTAACAGATAGCGAAGTTTAATCAAGTGTTTAACACACAATATCAATATTCTTTTTCTACCATTAAAAATTCTTAAAAGTTGAAATTTTTAACCTGTCAATTCTGGGTCCGATACACTTAATGTTAATTAACGTATTATACGTATCGATATATTAACGTTAACGTTAATATAAAGAATCACCTATTTTATTTTTTGTAACACATTAATGATCACTCAGTCGTGTTGTACGTTTATTGTTATTGTAACAAACCTGCGCATTTACTCGAGGTTTCATTCAAGTTTTCCCGAAATAGTCTAATATGGTGTACTACATACGTAGGTACTATCATTTATAAAAAAAAAAAAGCCCATAAATTCCTCTACCTCACATTTGTAAACTGTGTAGTTTAACTTTCATCTATATTTAAATTGATTATTCATTTTGAGGCTTGTGTAATTCTCTGCTTGTCAAATATCCATTTCGTTATTCTCTAAACGATAACAAGGACAAAAACAAAATGGTACTGATAGAGAAACGAAAAAAAGGTCGTTGGACAGCTGAGGTGAATATTGATTCCTTATTTTTTAAAAGGGATTGATACAATAAACACCGCCATTTGAAGATTCTTGATCCTTTCGTGAGTGAGATAATGTCAATGCTTGTATTAATCATATTTAAATGCACTTAAAAACTTTGACCTACATGAAACCCTCACTATTAATGTAGTAATGTCCCCAATAACGGTTTTAAATTTATTTTGGTCACCCTAAAATAATAATAATAATAATAATAATAATAATAATAATAATAATAACTAATTATGTTTTGAATGCTATCTGAATAGGAAGATAAACTATTAATGCAAAGTATTGAAGAGGAACCTGATCCAGAAAACCCAAATTGGGCGAATATTGAACGAAAATTTGCTGGAAAAAGAAGTACGAAGCAAATTAGAGAGAGATGGTCCAGCCATCTTGCACCATCAAGTAAGCATTTGGTTCTTTTATAAAATTAATCAAGTTACAATATCTCTGATTGTACCTCATTTTTTCTTGAATGTACTATTATTATGCAGTCGAAAAACGACAGTTTAACGATGACGAACGAAAAATCATCGACGAAGAATTCAAAAAGAATAAATTCAAATGGGCAAAAATTGCTTCTAAGTTAGAGAATGCTACACCATTAATGGTCAAAAACTTTTGGAATAATAGGCTTAAGAAAAGGCCTATTATTGTTAGACATCCTACAGATTCCTCTTTCGCGGAACCGTCCACTCCAGTTCAAGGGTTTTCGAGTGGACCAGGTTGGCTCTTAAAATCAACAATTTCATCAACGTATAAATACATTTTTTTAACATACAATTCATTACAGAGTTTGCAGGTTTGGTCACTCTTGCCCGTGTGGCTAGCATGGCATGTAGTACTACGAGCTCTGGTGCATATCCGAAGAAACGTTCCAAACGCATGTCTTTTTCCTTCCTTCTTAATAAGTAAAATTTAAAAACTCACCTTAATTATAACTTTTGGGATGATTAATGACATCGGTTAATAGGACAAAACCTGTTGAAAACACGAGAGACATTGATTGGCTTTCTTAGTTTGTTAAGGATTTTAAATAATAACCTTTGTTTTTGTTTTTTTTCTTTTTATTAGACAATTGCTCTATCAATATCATATATATTATTATGAGAGTATATTTGGGTACGTGCCAGAGTCAGATTAGGCCTAGTCATAATTATAGAAATTCTAGCTTGTGAGTCACCTCTACTCCATTTCTGAACACCATATTATTTTATATAATGAAAATTTTTTTATCTGTTTGCTAACTCTGGCTTTGGTGACCTGACTTTGAGTAAAGTTCTAACCTGGACATTTTTCTTTCAATTTGCATTGATTTTATTTAGCATTTTTATAGTCAATTAGTCAGAAATTAATATTATTCCTTTTCACGTTCATGTAAGGGCATTGGTTTTTTTTACACCGTTCATATCGCATTGGTAGATTAAAATTTCCATATGGTTCACAAGTTTTTTTTTTGGTAGATAAGTAAATTTCTATTTCATTACCTCGACTAGCTGATAGGCCTCTGGAATTTGATAAATCTACAAATTCAAAAATTTCTATTATCTTTTAATTATAAATATATTGTATATTCGTTTTGTATTAAACATGTATTAATAAATTTTTTCTGCATATTTGGACAAGTCACATGAATTAACGATGTGGGAATTCTGCAAGCGGTTAGTCTACGGACAGTTCTTACGGACAGTTAGGGACAGTGCGATTCACGTGATATTACTAAAACCACCAACCCTAACTGTCCCAACTCATACAGGGGGATCCCCAAAATTCCGGGTCGGAATACTTCGGATTTAGCCCGGCGTTTAGTTAGCATTTAGTAATACAAGTTAACCATTTCTGGGCC